TGGAGTCGGTCTGCTATCAGTTTTTGACTGAATGGGGTTAAAGTGGCAAATGCATAGAATCTGTTTTCGATAATGCAACAACCAAGTGTAGGGAATCAGTGAAACAACGTAAATCTTTTGCTTTCTGCATGGACAGAAATTCATAATAACTGCTTTCATTCAGAGTTCAGTCAGAACCTCATAGATTTGAAACAGATGTTCCTGCACAAATAGTGACATAGTTGCTGCAGGACTGCAGTTTAACTGCAAAAAGCCATAGGTGCTCGGCAACCTTACTTTTATATAGGAACGTAACCAGCTGGCAGCCAGTTAAGTCGAGTACAATATTGGAAAGTGATGATATTGTAAGAGAGTTTTGCGACTCAGACTGATGGCACCGCATCAGCAATCTCTCTGCATTTATAAATTAGACAGCAGTTATTTGTAAATCTTTGCCAATCTAAGAGCGATTGCAGTCCAAGTTGGACTGTCACTGTTTGGAGACGGGTTGCATCCCACCAGGCGACCTGTGCAGGTATTTAGTAAACAAAAAATGTTGCACATTCAAGCCCTGCGGTGTTTACCCGACTGATTGAGTCATAATTGTTGTTACGTGGCAGAAGTTGCCACATATTTTAGTGACATTTACCATGCAGTTTCATTGTTGAAGAACGTAACTGGCTATGTCAAAAAGCTGTCAGGTACAGATGCAGTGTTGCTACAATTTTGCTCAAGAAAAGGCGAGCAGTAGGTTTTTATCCCTGCTCTATCAACTGCTTATTTACTAACTATAAAGTACTCAAAGGAGCAGTATAATATTGGACATACTCACATAAAATAGCCTTATTTGTGCTGCAATTACATAATTACTTTTCTATATGTGGTATAGTCATTTGGGTTGTGCAACATTAAAATAATAAACAGCCGGTTTATTCACCAGAATCTGCAGGTTTTCAGGTTCAGCATGTTGTAGAAACTCCTTTTAGCCAATTAAGAGCAATGATCATCCATCAAGTCATAACTGTTTTCCCATACATACATTATATTTCATCCGCCACATTGCTTATTATACTGTAAGCATGTCTTACAGTAATCTCATTACACAGTCAATCCAAATGCATAATGTATTGAAATGATTGCAAGTCATTATGCATTATGTCCCATGCCACTCTGAGGTGATTATGGTCCTCGCAGTGTGCTTATAATGTTTCAAACGCACCTCAAGGAAAGTGTTGCTACGTTTTCTTTTAATTTAACGTCTAACATAGAAAAGCTAGTGATTCGCATTCATTACGAAGAACCCGTGACTCTTTAAAGCCCCGTGCTCTTTGTGCTCGTGCTGATCCATGTGCGTGTCTGTCACATCCAGGCTCGGTTGGCCCAAGTGGCGGCAGAAGCAGAGCTGAAGGTTCCCTTCGTCAATGAGCTCCCCTCTCGGCAGGCGCAGCTCGCAGCGCTGACAAACACAGAGGAGTTCGACGTTCTGGTTGTCGGAGGAGGGGCCACGGGGGCAGGATGTGCCTTAGACGCTGTCACACGCAGTAAGCTCGCCATCAGCAGGGTGTCTCTGCTTTCAGGTTTCACTAGGCTTTGGAAGTGTTCTCACTGAATCATGGTTGAAAGATTATGATGGTCCTGTACTCTATGCTTCAGTTTTAAGAGGTTCTTCTAGATTCTGCGACTGTGCAAAATGGACTGGTTCTCATATCGCTTATGTCCTATTCACCGATTTACACACATCCATAGAAGCACTGCTTTCAACATCTAAATCCACGAGTATTTACTTTACTTACTTTAAGGTTTTCCTATAGGTACCTGGTACCAGGTACTTTTAAGTTCATTTCAGGTCTTAGTATATACAGAGTACTGGGCTTGTAAAAGTTGGCTGCAATTAAATCCATGTTTATGTTTAGTCATTACTGTGTGGCAGACGTTTATGACGTGGCCCTTACTTATTTAAAAGCCGTCACTCTTACAGGTTTATAGATTCACTGCGAGCTGATGAAGGCTCATTTATCACAGATCAGACTTTGAAGTTAATAGGTCAGAACAACATTTTTCACTTGTATTGATAATAACCAGATTCATCAGAGCGAAGAGCCGTCTGTTTATTTGCTTGTTCCCTTGAAGCTTTTGGGTGACATATAGGCTAATCGTCTGTAAGGTTTAGGTTTTATATAAGTTTAAGTTTTAGTGTAAGAAGGAAACAAGGCTCTTCTTAATACCGTTATCAATAAGGCGCTGTGTCATTTTCCCCAGACCTTAAGACTGCTCTCGTCGAGAGAAGCGACTTCTCTTCTGGCACGAGCAGCCGAAGCACCAAGCTCATCCACGGTGGAGTCCGCTATCTGCAGAAGGCCATCATGAAGCTGGACTATGAGCAGGTTACTCTGTGCTGCACCTTTGGCTTATTTAGATGCTCCTCTCTCACCATCATCTTTTTGGATTAGATAGACAGACTTTTATTGTCATTTCAGTCTCACTAACAGAGCACATCAGTAGGAAAAAAAAAAATAAATATATATATATATATATTTTTAAACAGTACATGATGGTGAAAGAGGCCCTCCATGAGCGAGCCAACCTGCTGGAGATTGCACCTCACCTGTCTGCGCCATTACCCATCATGCTTCCTGTTTACAAGTAAGATTTAGAACAAGGTTTTTTGGTTAAATATGAGCGTTTATGAGGGGGATTCATCTTCAGTGCGTCTGTGTCACCTGGGTAGCAGCTGCTCTGTGAGACTACAGCAGGGGTGTATAAATGCTTGTCGGTTCAACATCTATTACTCTTTTTGTTCTTTGTGGCTATTTGTTGAGCAAACCTAAGTTTTGAGTAAATGTAGCCACGTTTTGATGACGACTGGGGTAAGGACAAAACCTGCCTTGTTTAACCAGCTGATAATTTGTTTAATACCTGTCTGAAGGACAAATAGATTTTTGCATCTTTGTGGTGACGTAAAATTGACCAAAAAATAAGATTTTGTATCCAAATATTTAAGTAGACAGAACTTAAATCGCTGTGTTTGCCTCACAGATGGTGGCAGTTGCCTTACTACTGGGCAGGGATCAAGATGTACGACTTGGTGGCAGGGAGCCAGTGCCTGAAGAGCAGCTACGTCCTCAGCAAGACGAAGGCCTTGGAGCTCTTCCCCATGCTGAAGAAGGACAAGTTGGTGGGGGCCATCGTGTACTACGACGGTGAGCTCACGGCTCCGTTATTGTTGGGGGGTTTTTACGCCAGCAGAGCTGTTTGTTTCATCCGCGCTGCGATGTGTTTTCAGTTATCCAAACAGCATGCTTTGTTTGCTTATTTGTTACTCATCTCTTTTATTTTGAGTAAACATGAAAAGACAGCTGAGTCAGTCTTGCCCTTTCCCCGCCGTCTTCCTCTCCTGCAGCAAAGATTTACAATAGCGATGGCTTGATGGAAATTTGCGTGAACATGAGGTTTTATAGAGCAGCTCTGTAACCGCTATTTAAACGCCTGACAGCAGCAAACGTGATGACAGGTCTTGAAATCTTTTTCAGAAGCACCCATTGACTTCTGGGGTGTTGAAACATCAACGTGAGCATTCACGAGATGACTAAACAGATAGGAGGGAATGAAAAAATATGTTATTTGGACTGACCTTTTCTGCTTATGAAAAACAGGATATCTAACCCTCGTAGGCGTCTAAATAGCTCATATTAAATTGTCAAATGCAAAAACACAGGTGTGATGTATATAACTAAATATAGTATTTCTTTCTTTCTGGTTGTATATTTGCTGAAACAAAACCTACAAAAAACTTGCAGTAGCTGCAGAACTTGACTAAGATTACCAACATGTTTAAGTTTTCTGTGAATTGAATCTGTTGATGGCTGTCTACACTAGGAGCCGCTGAAAGGCTATTTGAAGTACTCATTTAGTAGTCTTAAGAGCTTGAAAAGAAGGCGACAGGATTTCTTTAAGTTTTTTAAATGACATTTCATCTCTCATCCAAGAGGTTTCTTTAGCTCTAAAGTAAAATATTATCAAAACACCCAAAGATGTCCAGTCACCAACTCTTAAGACTACCATGACCACAATGACTGAGAACCTACACTCACATAATCATGTGCAACTTAACTCTGACCCGACCTGATAAATCTTCTGTATTTTACGAAGTTACATTATTCAGGCAAAGTTTCCGAAAATACACCTGTTAACACATTGGTAATTAGTAATGAAATTGGCTGGTAGCTTGTAGAAAGAATACGAGAGGTCTAATAGCAATGGCAAAAAGTGAGACTATAGATCATAGATTTTATTTTTGAATTTTTTTGGCCTGGAAGGAGGAGAAGTTGAGTGAGAGCTTTGGGAGTCATCTCATAGAGCCATCAGTGACCCTAACCTGTAGATTTAGTCGTAGCTCCTCGGTTTCTAACATGTTCTGTTGCTTTAAGTTCAGATTTTGGTGTCGCTGACTTTTCAATGTTTAGCATTTCTGAAACTTTTACCAGCGTCAAGCTTTAGTTAACAGTTGATATCTTAGCTGTTACCAAGAGTAGAACGTTAAATGATAGCTAGCTAGTACATGTCTATTTGCCACCGAGGGAGCATGAAATCCCAAATGGCATGTGAGCCCAGCGGTAATATTTTGGCAAAAAGAGTTTCACGCCCACAAATCTAAAAAACTGCAGCATTTTCAAAACTTTTAGTTTTAGTTTTATTTTTGCTCGGTTAGTTGTGATCAGAAGTTTATATCCACTCATAATTGACACGAATGTTGTGGAAAACTTTAGGCTTTTATTTATTTATTTGAACTGAATCTTGAAAAACAAGATTTGGGTGCACATTGAACAACTCATTTAAATATTTTAATAAGTGGTGCAGAAGAGTTTTGACAGCACTTATTGACCAGTGCTGAGAACAAAGTGAAAGTCTAAAGAACTCAGTGAAGATCAAAGAAGGACAATTGTAGATTTACACCACCTGTGAAAGTCTCTTGAAGTCATTTCTAAACAAACGCAGATTCCAGGCTCATCAGTTCAAACATTTTTACATGAGTACAAACTATTCAGATTTGTCACCACTTTGCCGAGTCCTGTAAGAAGACCCAAACTGCCACCCTCAGATGACAGGAAATCGGTTAGGATGTTAAAGAATAACCCAGAAACCACCAAAGCTCAAGCCTGCCATGAAAAACTGTTGGAAGTGAGTTTTATATCACCATGAACTGAGAGGGTGCCAACCAAGAAAGAAGCCCCTGCTCCAAAATCAACACCTTCAAGCCCAACTGAAATCTGCAGCAGCCCACATGGACAAGCCAAAAAGTTTTATGGTCAGACAAAGCAAATATTGAGCCATTTCACCACAACGACAAGATGTAGGTTTGGAGGAGTAAAGATGAGGCTTTCAAACCTAAGAACAACGTACCAGCGGTCAAGCATGGTGGTGGTAACATCATGCTCTGGGGCTGTTTTGCTGCCAGTGGTACTGGTACACTGCACAAATTGGTTGGAATAATAAAGAAGGAATTTCTTCAACTTCACCGGGAACCAACAGCTAGATTGTTGAAACTCGGACACAGTTGGGTGGATGTATTTGAACTGCGTGTTTATTTTTGACCTTGTGTTGATTAGAAAAAATCCTAAATAATATCAAACTTGTTCTCCCAGTTCTTGTTTTAAACAGTTCAATGAAATCATTAAAAGCCCCAAATTACTATGAGATTGATGCCAGTGTGAGTAAACTACTAAACACAGCAGTAGTAAAAATGAAACGCCTTTAAAATACAATCTGTCTTTCTTCAATTCACAGGCATATTTTTAGCTGTGCTGTTCAAAACCTGTACGAGTACAGACAAAGAAGCAAAAAAACAATTTATTCTTTACATAAAAACATACTTTTTGCTAAGAATTTAATTCAGTTAAAGTTTACGACCAACTTTCTCCTTTATTCACATTTAAGCACAAATAGTGCAAATTTGAAATATACTTCAGGAAACATGTAGGGATCGTATCATTAAGCCAAACAGCAGATTAGAGAATGCAGGCCTCGGATGCAGCGCTGCCCGAGGCCTTCACATCTCCACTGGTGCCGAACAAAATGTGTTGACAGACTGGTAGGATGCCCCCTCTACCCCCGCGGCGCTAAAGGTTGCGTGTTTGCCGTTTCACCACGAAGGAGAACCAAACATATGCTGAGCGTCCAGCTGAGTGTGAGGAGCCTTGTGCCTCTGGCGTCCTTTCCGTTCCGCCGCCGAAAATAACAACGGCGTATCTGCGGGTGATGTGTTTTCTACTGCTGGCTTCGCTCAGTATGGGCTCGTTGTGTTCACTCACAACAGGCTGGGTTTTTTTTGTTTGTTTTATTTTAATTGGAGAAATGACACCACTTAGAGGTTGCTGATGTTTGTCTTTATCATATTTTTACTATGAAATAAAATACGATATCCATTAATATCCGTTTATTTCTTCAGCACAGTAAGGAGCGCTTACCTGAAGTTTAATTTATCCATTTAAAATACTTTTACTCTTAAGTGATCAGAGGTTCCTGCCTTTACTGCAGACTGAGAAAATGGAAGAGCGTTTTCCTGGTGCAGAGCAGCATATGTTTGATTTTCACCTCCTCACCATCCTCCCATCATCTGCTCTGAAGGGGTGGGGGCTGGGGGCCAGGGTGATGGGGAGGAGGGGGAGGGGTGGGTCGTCTTTTCTCCAATTATGCCGTCTGGAACAATCACGCCCGTGACATTTCGAAATATGACCTTCTCTCCCGGCGGTGTAGAGCACAGAGCAGCAGCGGCGGCGGCGTCACCGGTCGGAGCGGCTGAGCAGCAGCAGCTATTTCTCCCACTTCCTTGGTTACTGCCGCTGCCACCAGCAACAGCAGACACTCCTTTATTGTCACAGACACACACACACAATGTTGGGCCTAATCCACTTACGCCGAGCTGGCTGGCTGCTGCATTATATGTATGCATTCCTCAGATACTTCCCCTAGGTACAAATTCTCCTATCCATGTGAGAAATCCAGCTAAATGCCTATAAAAAGGAACAAATGACCTCTTCCTTCCATCTTGTTCATGTCCTTCTTTTCTGTCCTGCTTCAGGTCAGCACAATGATGCCCGTATGAACCTGGCCATCGCCCTCAGTGCCGCCCGCTACGGCGCCGCCATCGCAAACTACACCGAGGTGATTCACCTGCTGAAGAAAAAGGACCCACAGAGCGGCAGAGAGAAGGTGTGCGGTGCCCGCTGCAGGGACGTCATCACAGGTGAGGGACGCGGGCGGCGAGATGGCGCTCTAAAGTTTAATTTTTTCCATCCGAAAGTGTCTCTGAGCTCCTAAAGCACAGGTTAGAAAGATCATCCTGACCCTGAAGGTTTAGACTTCCTCCAACACCATAAAAAGAGAAGATGAAATAATCATTTAAAAAGGCCAAGCTGTGTTGTGCCGCTTCAAACTGTTTCATCAGTCTACATGGAGACTGACATAAAAAAAGCTTTTTAAACATTAGGATTAAATATGAAAAATCCCTGGAAGTGAGGATGGAAAGACTCAGATCTATATCTGCTATATACCTGAAGACCACCATGTAACCATAACAACGGCATGTGCATTAAATCTCTTTCTTTTAACTTCTCATTAACACCATAGAGCCAGGGTTAATAACTTAAGTTCACTCTTCTCGCTGTTTGGAAAAACATGTCATATTGAGCTCAAATACGCCGCCTATGGTGGGAGCGGGAAAATCAGAAACACCCAATTTCACCTTCACTGTGGATTGCTGTTTTTTTCTCCCACTCATTCATCACCTTTCAGGTTTCTTGTGTGACATCATGCGCGCATTGATCAATAGTTATCCACCATAGTGAACATTAAAAATGTGCAGCAACAACCAGTTGGTGAGTAGTTCCTGGAGGTTTCTGGCAGTTGGTAGGTGAAATTGATCATAAAGACAGTGCTGTAATTGAAGTGTCTTCAATCCTTTCTGCAAACACTTGCCAACTACTCATTGAACGGCAGCCAGAAACAAACAGTTTCCCTTAAAGTAAAATTTGGATCTACACAGCCAACACATTTCAAAAGGTGCAACTTTTACTTTGAAAGCAAAAGATCTGCATCACTTCCACTAGGAGAGTAGTTGGCAAGTGCTTGCAGATAAGTTGGTGTCCTCCTAACGATCGTTTCCTGGTGTCCAAGACATTGTATACGTCTTTGCTAGTACCTCTTAAAAGGTTGATTCTGTTCATCTGGACGTAGCGTCTTCAGTGGGAGAAACGTTTCGTCACTCATTCAAGTGACTTCTTCAGTCTCAGCTGACTGCAGGTTTCCAACCTTATAAACAGTACATTTGCATAATGACTGAAACCAGTCCACTGAAGGAACAATGGGCTGTGAGGTCAGTTCCTTAATCTTAATTATGCAAATTCTCATGACCATTGATTAACAACCACTGATTAAAGTCCATAGATCAATGGCCATGAGTGCCATTCACAGTGGGAGTGGCTGCAATCACAGCATTGTAAGATGGCAAAAGATGTACCCTTAAGGCTCCTCCTCCATTCATAGATGTTCTTTACCTTTTCACGTAAATGGCTTCCTTGACTCTCCTCAGGCTCAGTCTTTCAAAATTTACTTACCTGGATGATTGAGCATGCATCAAGATGTATTTGCAAGTAGTATCACCTTGCCACCTTGCCTGAACATCTAGAACTACAGTGTCACATGTTCAAAATGGCAGACAAGTTGAAGCCAAGCATTTGCATGATTGCAAAAACTGAATTCCACGTCTAATTGGCTTTCGCTTTATTTGCGTGTGGCGTTGGCTCAGGAGGTAGAGCAGGTCATGTCTTCCTCCTGTGCATCCATCAGAGTGTGAGCATGTAAATGTTAGGTTCAAAGCACTCAGACGTAGGAAAAAAACACTTCTGTAAATGTGTGTCAAAGGGTCAGTGACGCTTGTATTAAGAGGCGCTCAAACAGAGGAGAAAAGCGCGACAATTAGAGCCAAATATTTGTGCACTGCAGTCCACAGAGAAGTTAAAATATAAATAAAAAAGTCTCATCGTGTCCAGCTGTAGCACTCCAGGTCATTAATAACAGTTATATTATCAACTACAAGCCTTACATTAGATTATTAATGAATAAGTTATAGTAATACTTCAAAGCTGATGAAGGAAATTCACATTATCTTGTTGCTGTTTTTCTTGTTTCTGCCTCTGATGTTTTCTGCTGCTATATCTACGGCTTCCTTTTATTTGAGTTATGTATTGTTCTTAACGACCATGAAGGCTTCTAAAAGGATTTGTTTTAGGTAAATGCATTATTGTAAATGTAAGTAGAAATGAATGTGTATAGCAAATAATATATACACAGGCAGGACGGTGCTGCAGGGGTGTGAAATAAAAAAGGAAAAACTTAATTTAATTTTGATAAGAAGCTGCTGTTTGCATTAAGAAGTCAGTGAACGGTTCCTCCCACATTATTGTTTGCTTATTTTTTGTATTTGATGTGTCTCTTAATCGAATCTGTCAACGTCTCGCTCGTCTTCACAGGGCAGGAATTTGACGTGAGGGCCAAGTGTGTGATCAACGCCACCGGACCGTTCACAGACGCTCTGAGGAAGATGGACAACCAGGAGGCCTCGAACATCTGCCAGCCCAGTGCTGGAGTTCACATCGTCATCCCCGGATACTACAGGTCTGACATAATAATGCCAAAAACAACCAAAACTGTTCCTGTTGTTTTCTTTTTCTCTTCCATTAACATGTATAGTAGTTCCTGTGTTTTCTCATTCCTGTGTGTAAATACTAAGCTAGCCAAACTATTATCTGACCTCCGCCTACATACATAGGACAATCTTCTCCGGTTAAGATACAGCCGAGTGGCAGAGTGGTTTTGTGGAAGTCGGAGGTTTTAAAGTTCAGCTAAGCTTATTGAGTGAAACCCGAGGGAGCGCGAGCCCTTTGAACAGAAATGCCAACCACCTAATTTTCTTCCTCCTGCTCACTTATTCTCATCTTCCTCCTGCTGCTATCTACCCCCCACCCACATACTCCCGTGCCTCCTCTACCTCCTCCATATCTGTGTTCATTTGTCTCCTGCTCAGTTTGGCCCTCATCTCCTCATTTTTAGTGCCACCATTCCTTCTTTTCCTGCTGTTTTCCTCAATTTTTTTGCGCCACTCTCCTTTTTTATTTCAATAAACTGCACAGACTCCTGCTACTTCTATTACGAGTGGTATATTTAATAATAAGAAATCCTCTTTTTTTCCCTTCTCCTTGGCACAGTCCTGACAACATGGGTCTCCTCGATCCAGCCACCAGCGATGGTCGTGTCATCTTCTTCCTGCCGTGGGAGAACATGACCATCGCCGGAACAACCGACACCCCCACTAGCGTGACAGCCCACCCAATCCCAGGGGAGGACGACATCAACTTCATCCTGAGGGAGGTCCGCAATTATCTCAGCCCTGATGTAGAAGGTACAGGAGCGCTTTGTGATGGACTTTTGAGTAGCCTGCTTTTTATTTTGTACCAAGTGTCTGCTTCACATGGAGCCGCATGCTTATATGGTGACTGAATCTGCAGCTTTAAAGGGTTTTTTTAATTACTGACTCACAGGTTTGGGCATTCAGTGGTGCGTTGGGGAAGGGTAGGTAATCGTAATCTCATCTTTTTGGGAAGAGCAGCGAGTTTCTAGTCAGAAAGATTGCTCTTAAGGGTCTTAAATTAAATCTTGTTGTGCTTGGAGTCCCTCAGGGATTCATTCTTGGCCCACAGTTCTTTTTCTTTTTAGCTCTATATTCTCCTCTTTGGCTCCTTCTTTAATAAACATGACATGGTGTGACATTTTTGTGTCTGCAGTGCGTCGAGGAGACGTGTTGGCAGCGTGGAGCGGCATACGTCCCCTAGTGACGGACCCCAGCTCCAAAGACACCCAGTCCATCTGCAGGAACCACATCGTCAGCATCAGTGACAGCGGACTGGTCACAATCGCTGGTGAGCTGGCCTTTATCTGTTTGATCATCTTCAATGAGAGGTACCTGTGATGCATTTTAAAACACAGCTTTGGTGTTCAGGTGGGAAATGGACCACCTACAGATCTATGGCTGAAGAGACCCTGGACTCAACAATTAAGGCCCACGGCCTGCCAGCTGACTCCTGCAAGACTGTTGGTCTGATGCTGGAGGGAGCCAAGGGGTGGACGCCAACCCTTTACATCCGCCTGGTGCAGGACTACGGCCTGGAGAAAGAGGTCAGATGTTACGTTACTGCAGCTGGTCATTAAAGCCTAATACTGTACTGTTTACTATTAAAGCTCAGCAGGTTTTTAAACACAGCTGCTGATCCATGGCTCTTTCCCTTTCATTTCCTCTGCTTCTGCTTTCCTTCTGTTACCGAGTCGCTTCCAGCAGCCTAAAGCAGTCCTACTCGGCAGGTTTTATACTTTATACATGTTAGCCTTAATTTCTCAAACAGTGGCCTTTTCTTACATTAACCCCAAAGCATACTAGGCCTTTATTTAAAGTTTCCTTCTGTTGTACATTTTATCAGACTTGCCAAAGAAGTGTGTCGTTGTGGACCGGAGAGTTGAGTTTCTTATGATTTTATGCTTTATGTGCAGTTTTGTTTCTTCTTTTGGCAAACTTATGATCCAAGCTGCAAAAAACTGATAAATAAGCCCCATACTTTACCACCACATCTTCAAATCTCTTCTTATGCTACATCTGTTTATTGTGAATTACCCAACAGTGGGACTAATATAGACCATCTTATCTTATCTTAGCTTGCATTTGAGCATCAGTCTAAACCTTGAAAATGTTAAATTGATATATAGGTGCCTTTTGTCCTTTACAATTATAGCTGGTTCATCGATGAAGCTCTACTTCTGATTGTTGTCAAAATGCAACACTCTCTGATGTTTTCATATTAACAGCTTTCATTTAAAAGGCTGAAAGACTTTTATCTGAAAAGTTTGGTAAAATGACAAAGTCAAACTTGTGAAGCTGTACTGGTGGAAGAGGAAGAACTAGAGGTCAGGGAAACATTCACCAGTTCCTTTTTCCGCCTTTGATTGTCTAATTAGTGAGCTCATGTGAACTGTAGCCTCAGTTTCCTGTTTGTAGCTGACAGACGTGTCACCCGGTGTGGTCTTCTGCTGCTGATGAGACGCTCCTCTGTATAGCTTGGTTGTAACAAGTGGTTATTTGCGTTACTGTTGTCTTCCTAACAGCTCGAAGCGGGCTGAGCATTCTCCTCTGACCTCTAGCATCGTTTTCACCCAGATTAGTGAAGCTCACAGACTATTTTCTCTTTCTCAGATTGTTCTAGAACTCTAGAGATGGTCGCGTGGGAAAATCCCAGCATATCAGCAGCTTCTGAAATACACAGTCCAACAACCCTGCCATGTTTAAAGTTGCTTAAATCACCATCTTCTTCCTCTTTCTGATGCTTTTTGAACGTAGCTCATCATCTTGATAATGTCCAGATTCCTAAATACACTCAGTTGTTGCCATGTAATTGGCAGACTGGATGTTTGTGTTAATGAGCAGTTAAAAAAGTATACCTAATGAAGTGGCTGGTGAGTGTACAAATAAGTGTCTGACTTTAATGAGTGTGGATCTCTCTGCCACTGAGATGAATGACGGTTTATATTTAAAGCCACATCTTCCAGGTTTGTTTTCAGACCAATCAATGAGATTACTGCTTCATTAAGAAAAGTTTGGGAATGCGTAGCTACTGTACACACTGGCTGACACAGCCGTGTACAAACCGAGCTGTAACCGCAGCTCTCGCAGACACATTCGGTGTCTTCTCCACCAGATGCTGACATTAAAGCTGCTGCTGTAACAAAGCTGACATTTCCACTACACAAAAGACTGGACACGAGTTACAACGCACTGTGTGCTGTCCAATTTACCAGTGGCATTAAGCAAAGGCACATCGACTCACATCAGCTTCGCAGC